ATGCTAATCCGGGATTAAGTCGATTACTGCCGCGTGCCTTCAGCTTCTCTGCTAACCCGTTAGCGCTGGCAACAAAGGGCTGCCATCATCATTCACCCGAAGTCCAACTGTCATGTGACCAGTCAAGGCGCTTCTTATTGGCTAAACCTGCTCCTTTGTTTGTAATACCCTTTCTAACCTGGCACCGGGCTACAGCTAGAACAAACATCCCTGGCATCCTTCCAGCCTTGACCCCCCTCCAAGGCTGACCTTGCCAGCCTGACTTACTGGCTGTCCTAACCTCCGACCAGCGTCCCGGTGCAAGGCTAGGGCAAGCAGGTGGTTCTCTGCACGGGGCAGAGAAGGGGAGCAAAGGCGGTTTTGCGCAGAGTGAATAGCTAAATGGATTCATCAATAATGGGGGCCATCCGTATCGACAGGGGCATTTATCCCTATTTGTCCAGGTGTCAATACCAAGTGAAGCTGTCAAGGGGACGCTTGGGCTGTAAAACAGGATATATTGCAGAGATTGATCCCCCCGCCATCCCAGTGGGGATGGACCGACCCCCCAAGAGGTGCTAGTGTCGTGTATAAAGCATGATTTATAATCTGTTAAAAAGGCAATACAGGGGCATGCGTCGCATTCTGACCGATGGGCTAGGCTGGCCAGATATGCTCTATAAACGTTGGGATTCTGAGAGCCGGCGTAGTTGAACTGTCCGTTGGGAGTGTGTGCGAACCCAGAAAATGGTCCCTCCTTGCCTGAGGGGGTCGACTGTTTCCACTCGTAAAATGAGGTTTGAATGAGGGGGAAGGCGAAGCGCACACAGACACACGCAGGAGCCCGCAGACACACGATCTCGGGTGTAGTGGTCCGGATGCCATATGTGAACAAGAAAACCTGATCAAGCTGCACGAAAAAAGGAATGGCAGCATATCGGCAGCGTGGTGAGTCTGAGGAACCATCTCGCGTTCAGACGACGTTTAAAGTTACAGTGACAGACAGGCATATGGTTCTCGGAGCTGCGTTTTGCACAAGCGGCCATCTACCAAAAAGGCCCCCGCCAGACGCCGCCACCTCGATGAGGGTTGGGAAATCCGCCCGGGGCGGGGGGCTCACGGGCCGCTCAATTGTTCTGGCAGCGTGGCGAGTGGAGTTAATCGGACCCTTTGTGTGGGTCGGTCCCGATGACAGTGATTGGTGTAGGATGGCAGTGACGGGGTCAGGAGTCAAAGCCTTCTTGTTGTACCAATGCCGGCGCCCCAACAGCTGTGCTATAAGCGAATCCCGCCGATCCCGGGTCCACCCTCTCTTCCGGATGTGCCGAGTGCCTCCGGCAAGGCCATCCATAAGCAGGACCACCCCACACCCCGCCCCATCGGCCTCGCCGGCGTTCTGCTGCTGTTTTCAGGCCGACCTCTTTCTGTCACTCCAGACCGAACTCTACCCGGACTTCCGCCTCTCGTCTATGAACCTCATTGTTTTCCTCCTTCCCAAAGAACTCCATTCAGACAATGGGTAGCGACCCTTGGCCCTATTTCTGGGCCTTCTTCACGGGGGCGGAGGGAGTTTAAATAGACTGGGACTCTCGCACACTACGGGAGAGAAATCGCCCTTAAGTGAATGTTAATGTAGCTTTGTTCCCATTAATCACATCCTCCCGCTCCGCTGATTCCCAGCTCCCTGCCGGCCCACTGGAGCGCGGCAGATCACCGAGGAATAGCAGAGGCTAATCTATGCCAGATTCAGGGATCCAACCTGGAAGACGACGAGCATCGGCAAAGCCAATCAGGTCACTGGGTTTAGGCTCCAGGAGAAGGTTAGCGTAGCTTAGCATTACTCAACACCCACTCTGAAGGTGTGGGATCGGAGGGCAAACTTTTGGGTTGCAAATCAGTTTATGAGCACCCCGAGCGATTTTTGGCATGGAAGACTGCTCTGACCTTGAAAACTCATGCCTTTCAACTGAAAACTTGAAGAAAATAGCCCATATTTTTGGGGACCGTCGGTTTCTACGGAGGCCCGATCTGGAAGTTTTTGCTAAGGTTTGAAATTCCCCAAGTCATGACAGATCCAGGTTAGCCGTGGCGCTGGGAACGTCAGCCACATAAACGGAGAGGTTTAAATAAAATCTCACAGTCGCACCGTGCATTCCACGACACCTCCTGATGTTCACGCTGCTCCCGCAAAACCTCCACCGGGAAGAGCTGTGCTAAAAAGAACCACCAGGTCGTCAGGAGATGCGGCACCCACACTGCTTTTCAAAATCCTCCATCTGTAACCAACTTGACCTGAAATGCTAGTTACCCAATCAAGACAATTATAACTCAGCAAAGCTAGGGGGCACTAACTCACGGACTATTAAATGCTCGCTGCTATATTAAAGGTTTGTATTGACTGTACATTTGCTGTTGTTACCCAGGCAAAACCGACAAACCGTTTGAATTCAGATTGGTGAAAGTGTGGCCTTTGGAGTGTGACCCGTCTCGCTGCATGAGGAAAGGGTCACGACCCTTGAACGCGATCACGCAGATTTTGCTCCTGCCAGCTACTCCAGCATACGTGTGCAGTGTACAGCAGGATCACAGCAAATGCGTATTTTCTGGCTCGCATTGCATGTCCTGCGTGTGTACACGTAGACGTGCATCCACCCCTCAAATGCAAACATGCAAAGCTGTGGCCTATTGTCTACTGCAATCGCTGAAACCTTTGATCCCAGCCCAGTCAAAGCATCAAACAAAGAAAAAAATGTTTAAAAAAGCAAAAGGAAAGAATGTCATGCTAAATGAGAAACAACAGGCCAAACTAAAGACTTTCTGAGATTTCTTCAAGGTTTTCAGCCTTTTCTTTCAAATAATCGAAATATATAAATAACTATCCTAAGATGTCTTACATGTGGGGAAAAATATAATCCATCATCACACTGTGAATCTAATAGTTTCTTAGTGCAAAACATATGGCACAATTTCTAGTACAGATGCATATTCATGCAGGAGGGGTGGTGAAATCAATTTCTATTCGCTTTTGCTCCTCTGAACAAATTGGACTGCCGACACTGGGTGAGGCGTGTGAGAACAGGAGAAGCCCAAATCTGGTGACCCTCCAGTTAACGTGACCGCGGGAGGGGGACTGGCCCTGGAGAAAAGGTGGGGGGTGTCCATTCTCCTCCTTCATTGGTCCCAGAACTGGGCGTCGACTAAATGAATCTTTCCGGGCCATTAACGCCATGGCCATCATCACAGTTAAACCATAGAAACAAGGCATGCTGGGCATTTGAGTTTACAGGGTGGGGGATGGGCTGCATGTGGAGCGGCTGGCAGGATTGACAGCTGAGCAGAGTGAATCCGTTTATGAGTGTGAGGTACGAGCGCATTCCTGCCCCCCCTGCCCCATCCCGCCATACCTAAGTACCTCCGGGAGATGGGTGAACCCGCCATCACGGCTGCCTCTCGCGCCAACCTGGCTGCTCTCCTGCCCCGCCAGACACAGTACTGCATTGTTATTCCGGGCGGGAAGCCGGAGCCGGACCCAGATCTGTCCGCGCCCTACTCCTAATTCACCATCATCCCTCCCTTTGTTCATGTCCGGAAAAATCCCCCGGCCCTTCCCCCCACCCCCCCCCGGTCCTGGTGGGAGATTAGGGATCTGGGCTCTTTTAGGAGTATTAGCCCCTTCTCCTCCACAGGTGAGGGACAAACCCCAAAATGTCACTCCTGTGAAAGGGCCGGGGAGCAGTGGCGGCCGCTCTTCTCCACTCAAAGGCTCCACGTTGGAGTGGCGGCCTTCGCAATCCCCATGACCCGGCTCTGAGAGGCACAAGGCTGTCCCTCATACGCCAATTGACAGTAATTATTTTATACATTAATTTTACATCACATTTATTTAGCCCAAGCTTTTATCCAAAGCAATGTCAAATTAAGAAAGCAGGGTCAGTCAGTCCCTGGAGCAACTGGGGTAAGGGGGCCCCTCTGAGGGGCCTGACAGTGACATCACTCAGCCAATGATGGGATTGGAACCGATGACCTTCCAGACACAGCACAGCATTCCAACCCACTGATACATTACTGTGCGTTCTGATTTCAGACTCCGCCTATCCCACATGGTTTGGGTGTTAACTCCCCCCGCGCCCCCTCCCATTAGGCCAAAGATGAAGGCAGATCCCGTGGCAGGGAGAACCCGGTGGGGTCAAACGCGAGTGTCACAGACAGTGACCTTCATGACCACCAGTGGACGTGGCAGCAGGCACTCAGAGATACAGAACCCTGGCGGCAGGAATCTCACTGCGATCCATGGACCATCATTTTTCCGATATTATCCGGTACGTCCAAGTGGTCCAAACTGGAGACGTCAGAGTGAGAGGAGAAACACTGGCGGTGGTGGGGGTGTCCGTCCCGAAAAACAGCGGTGTGTGTGTGTATCTGTATGGTGGGGGGGGGGGGGGCATGATGAGAGAGGACCCTCACCCTGTGGTCTCCATCCCAAACTCGAGCCCCATGCAGCCTTGGCACCCACCCCTGTGACCAGCTAGCCCGGGGCCTCTTAAAGTATTTTTAAAGGAGGGGGGGTAAATGAGGGGGGAGGAGTCATTCGTCACTTGGTGGGACGTGGCGGCCGCCCTTTGAGTCTCATCTGCCCCCCCCCTGGCTGAGTCTGACGGTTATCAGCCGCACTTCACTCTGTCACCTCATTATAAGGACGGCGCAGTGACCTTGAGGTCCATCTCCATTCTCTATCTCCAGCT